ATTTTTATTGATCCACATTCAGATACATTTTTAGATACTTCAATATTCAGATACTATTCATCAATTATTCAATATTCAAAAGCGTTTAGTAATAGAGGGCAAAAGGATAATTTTAGCGTAGTTATATTTATAACATCAAAATCAAGCTTATCAGTAAATTTAGTGATTAGACCTTACTGTTAATATTTACTTGTGATTCCTGTCTAAATTCTAAGAGGAAAATTTTTCTGAAAAATGGAAAATGTGATGAAATTTGATTCTTCTCACACGATCTAAAATAGATTAAAATTCATTATATAGTAAATGTACGGAAATAAAGTGTTCATTAATAAAATCAAACGTAGAACGACTGAATAGTTAAAGAACCGTGAAAATTCAAAAAGTTAGAAAGAAAATTGGAAGAAATTGAAAATTTCGAAGCTCTCACGGATATAACGGAATATAAAGCAAACAGGTAACTTGCGCTGTAATTATCAATTTTAATGGGTTTCTTTAAACTAACTGGAAATTGTGATCATAAGTTGACTTTAACTGCTTACTTGTATATAGTTTCAAATTTCATACGCAAGTTTTTTACGTAGATCACTGAAAATGTGTTCAGATAAGGTTCAATAGTTTTCTCATAGATGTGTACAACCTAGTCTCAGTATACGTCAAATTATTTGTCATTGCAGCAATCAGAATATGTTTGCATGTAAATCACAAATTTTAAGTGAACAAAAATACAGTAACTGTCTCAGGATGTGTTATCTTAGATGTGTTAATGTGTTATCTAATTTGTTATCTTAAATTATTTGTTTTTTCTCCGATTTTACTGTAAAGTAATTGTTGCATAAAAAATTGTTGGGATTGAGTAGAATGACGAAGTAATGGCGATAATGTCAAATGACCTGAATAAATAAGCCAATACACGCATATGCCAACTTCTTTTTTCAGATTAATTATTTGCCTTGAACTGGCTGGGATGTCATTAAATCGACTCATAGAGACAAGTAGGTCATTTAATAACTACGCCAATATCTTACTGTAAAAATTTAGAGTAACGACTTTAAGCATGAATGGCATCGATAAATGCCAGTAATTAAAACATAAATTTGTTGAATTCTTTTTCAAATTGTGAAGTGAAGTTTGTATTTATCTGTTTATCATTCATGTACAACAGTAATACGCAATTTTGATCTTTTTCGCAACAAGTTGGAATGTATTAAGAAGAGTAAGAAATATATTGCAGAAAAGAGTAATAGATTGTGAGTTTTTAATGAATGCAAAAAATTTTTCAATTTGGAAAAGTAATGGCTTTTACAGTATCAAATAGATGCAGATCTACTGGAGTAAATTGAAAATGCTGCGCTCACACGTCATGAAATGATGTAGCAGTTAGGAATATCATGCCAGCAATCCAAATGACGCTGATTACATGTTTTAGCTGTAATAAAATTTTGAGAATTCATTATGTTTTTCGAATAGAATTTTTGAAAAGAGCGTAGCAGTGCAATCAATATGCAAATAAATGACTTATAAGAAGTAAAGAATCTCAGCGGCAGACATATATCGAAGGAATGAATAATTTCAAATAACAAATGGGATAGTGATGAGAGACAAGTGGAAAATAGAAATTGAAGCGACGAGAAATTGTGAAGTGAAATGAGAAGAGTATAGCTGAAACAAAATGGACTAATGCTCCATCACTTAGTTCCATTGATTGGTTCCGAATTGTGCTAAGAATAAGCTCTGCTTTGACGTGCCATCTCTACTTGACTATTATTATTTATCATCAAAATAGCAACAGACTTCAGTGAATTATTACATTCGGTTTTCCAATGATCATAAAGGCTTTGATTTTGACTATTTGCAAGATTACCTCAAATGGTATCAATTATTCTATGTTACTTCATGCGGTACTGCCTTACACTCAATTTGCAATCATTTTAGAAGCACTACAGGGACTGAATAGTTATGCAGTTGCACAGTAAGTGAAAAGTCCGTGTAATTTATTGAAATATAAAATGAGACTCAGTGCTGCAGTTCGATATATCTATCGAACACAAAGTATGCCTTTATGTGTGCATTTTAAGCATTACTCAACTGCTCATTTGACTGCAACAGAAGGAGCGTTTTTGTCAGATGCTTTGTCTCTTACGACGTGACACAAAGTCATAAATCACATTTTGTTCTAATCGAAGCAAATTTGCTTGCAATGAGCAAATCGATCTGATGATTTGTGCAAATATTTTTTGATATAGTCCCCAGCTGTTACCTAATACATACACATGAGTAGTACGTACATTCATTTCTTTGGGTCCTTCAACTGCAACAAAAGTTTGCTCACTTAGTCTTGCTGTTCTTTTTTTAATAATTAGTGAGACGATTTTTTTTAGTCACATTTAAATATTTTTAGTGTCTGATATTTTCAACTGCATAGAATTTATTTCTGATTCACTCGTGCTAATTAATTGCTTTGAGAATTTAGGTGTTTAAACAGAAGCACCAAACTAGTGGCTTCTATCAAAAGTTACTGCACTGAACAACTGGAAGGTAGTAAATGAATTCATGTTTTGTTTATTAACAATTTTCGTGGTTTTCAAATCCGTGAATCAATAAGAAATGAACTGAAATTGAAGCTACACTAGTGAGTCTGGCTGGGAGAATAAATCAACATGTGAGTGTGACCAGTGACCATAAGTGAGAGTAAATGTCGCATGTGGCGTGACCCGTGTCCGTACTTGTATTTAAGTGTCAAACGACTGACAATTAATGCAAATTTTTTATACTGTCCCTTTATTGTTACTAATATGCGCATGCAATATTTTAATGTTTGTTTCTTACGTCTGTGCGTGGATTTCTTATTGCCGCGTTCGTGTATTAGTGTATGAGTCTGTGTGTCTGCCTGGCGATGTTTGCAGAAATTCATTTAATATAACTGCGCTTACCCTAACAATCATGTGTGTGCGCCCATACCATGTGCACATAACTCTGTGCTTTTCGCGTGTGCTTGTCTTTGTTTCCTCTGAAACTGATGCAATTGAATGTGTGCATAAGTGCGCTTCAGTCCTTCCTCTACGTGCATACCTGTGCTTGAACGCATAACCCCATGAATGTCTTAGACTCGAGCGTTCGTTCATGTTGCATATATCCTATATTTTTGTTTGGTTGTGCGTATGGATTTAAGAGTAGAGTATGTAATGAGTGCTCAGAGCAATTGCGCGTATCTTTTGCATTCAATTACACATAGTAACGAATCTGTATTTGCATTGTATACGTTGGTGTAGCACTGGAAGGCATTTCCGTCGAATCCTTCGAAAGAGAATGAGCATGTCTATATGAAAAAGCTATTGTGGCAGGATGCTTGCTGCATTTATTCCTTTTCCTGCGATACCAAATATTTAAATCCTTGGTAATTTTGTCACCATATCTTCTATATATATTTGCGAAGTTTACCTCAGAGGTTATATTTTGCGTCGAGTCAGTTGCTCATAAATAATAACGAAGATTTTTTGTTCTACTTTTATCGCAAATATTTAATGTTAACATTGAATTGTATCGCATTGTAATGTACTCATAAAGAGATTCAGGCTATTATTGTTGAGATTCTGTGCATATGCCGTATCGAATGCTTCCTGTGCATTGGGATCCCATATGCGAATTAAAAGACTGCATATAATTAAGACATGTATACTTATAAGAAAAGAAGAAACGGTTTCGTCTCATTTTGTCAACCGTTTTCGTTGTAGCGGTTGCAGCCCACTGACTGACTACTGACAGGACATTTGCGCTGAAAATTTTGAAGTTTGAAATTTGCGTACGAATATAAAATGTTTTCTACCATCAACCATATCTAACATTCTAAAGAGCAAGTCATAATACAATCAAATTGGGTTTTATGGAATAGTTCTTTATACTGTCAGTAAAGATCACACATCCACCAGTTAATTACCGTAGTATTAGTGAGAAGGGTCGGTTAACAGTGCACCTCATGTTCTGAATTCAGTCAAATGTTTTAGTCATGTATGTATGTAATTTTTTTCAGATCTAAAAATATTTGCGGAAAAGCTAAGAATTGTAATGCAGTGTGTGAGTACTTCATACAAAGGCTTTAATGACTAGCTGAGCATAGCTCAACAATCGTCTAATCAGAATGTATTATTGCACCAGGGAAGATTCAGGTGATTAAAGATAAGAACAAGTAATAAGTAATGTCGATAACAAAAAAGCTAATTAAAACTGAGCAGATCATAAGCTTTGATTTACGGAAATCACAAGGTAAGTAAGTATATACATTCTCTGAATCAGTTCTGGAAATCAAACATCACCGATACTGTTGAACCAACACTGCCCATTAATATTCACTCCCGCTGGACAAGATCCAGTCATATTGGCTGGCCCAAGATCTAAAAGTACCAATCAATAAATGAAATTATTTGTGCAGGATTTATATCATCAGGATATTTTGTCTGATTACTGTGAATCGATCAAATTTTTTTTCAAATCTGTGAACACCATAAGACATTAATTTTCTTTCGGCTTTTAACACATGGTTTTCACAACATTCTCTCTATAACAAATAAAAGTCAGTAGAGTGTTTCGAAGGTACAATTAAATGCAAAACAATTACAACCATATTTTATAAGAGAAATTATTTTATCAGAAATTCCCTAGCAATTTTTGTATGATAATCCGATCAATTGATTGCCTCTTATTAACTGAAAAGTTTGTTGACTTTATCCAGACTTTTCAGAACATTCCATGATTTTACTTTACAAAATCTCCTGTTTTCTCCTATCTTTAATCCGGAGATGTTTCACAATAAGTGGTACTTATTTCGAATGAGGGAAAACAAACATCTTGTGAAGTATCCAAAATATCCAAGACCAAGAAGACCACCAAATCCACTTGTTAAACCACCTAATCCCAAGCCATCCAGTCCTCCGATTCCTAAACCACCTAATCCTCCAAATCCCAAACTACCGAATGTCGAATGATATGGTGATGGTATTACAATATTTATTAATCTTTCATCAGATGACCTTAGTGATTGCGCTAGACAGCATTTTTGAGAAGCATATGCTGAAATTTTACTTTTTTGTTCAACTTTTTAGAAAATTTGGTCGTTCAAATAAATAACTAAAGAAAGTTTATGCCATCGGATAAATATGTTATAATAATTTAACCTGTTCTATCGCATTCTAAAACCGCTTTTATCCGATAAACTTATTAACTAAGTAAACATATGCATCATTGTGTGACAATTTGTCGTTCTTTACGAATTTAATTGCACTAATTTATGTCAGATATTGTGTTGAACTGGTGCAATATAATTAAATAAAGCAAGATAATAAGACTAAGTCATAGAATCTAAATTTAACACTAAAAATGTTACCAAATAATAAAACACTTAGAAGGAATTCCACAAATTGAGGCATATTCGTAGATCAAGCAGTGAGCGAAAAATGAAAAATTGGCGCCAATCGCCTGCGAATTTTGCAGAAAAAAAATGGGAATTGATAACTGTGCAACAAAATTTACAATATTTATAGGCTTTACGAGTGATTCAGTTTTACTTCTAGAGAGAAGTTTCCTTCAACTAGTTATGCTTGATTTTGAGACTTTCGAGCTAGTAGCTTTTCCATACTCAAATATTTGCGAGTTACGAGCAAATATTAATAACTAGTAATGCTATCGATACTTATGCTAACACTTTTGTCAAAAAGTACAGAAAACGGTAGGAAATGCATTTTAAATTTGCAAAATTCTCAGTCTGTCCATTCTATGCCATAAAAACTAACTGGTTTTCTTGAGTGATAGACAAACAAATAAGAAAATAGAGAATATTTTTTATGCAAATATAAGAGAAAAGTTTCAGTTTATCCAGGAAGAACAAGATTTGGTTTGAAGAATTTTCTGCTGGATAGCGATGTTCAGTTTGCTTGAGTAACACTGAAGATAATACAAATGCAATGCTTAAAGATTACTCTTTCAAAACATCGAAAGATTAGAGCTAACATTTGAAAATTAGAATGCATAAAAACTGAAAAAAGAATTCCACTTGGTAGAATAGTTAACTGAAATGGGAAATTCATGCGAAATGTGATAATTATATACTTATATTTTAGAATCGAAATTCTACTACTACTACTTTTTGCCACTACCAAAATTGCACTACCTTCGAGCACTAATCAGTGTAGAAAATTATCATATTCACTTCAGCCAAGAAAGCAAGTAATTAATGGTTATCAAAGTATAATTCGTGAGATCTAATTTAAATGAAAATAAAAAAAAAACGCGTTGTCACCAAAAAAAGATGTACCATTGCATAATGAGTGTGGCTGCAATTTTTCGTAAATAGTTGATGTTTTCCAAATGTTCGTCTGTTTGAAAAAAATTGAGGGAACTTGTAAATGTGAAATGGTAGTTCTTTTAGGTGATGGTTTTTTCTTCAAAGTGTTTGTTGGACGGTACTGTTTATTTGTAAATTGCGGTCATGAATTCAAGCCGTTTATATATATACATATATACACTCAAATCTACGGCTCTGCTCTAGTAAGGTGCTTTCGACCGTCTTCTTGAGCAACCCAACGACTAGCACTATCAATTCGGTATATGCCTCAACGTGATCAGATACACTGATTTCATTCACGTAACGTTTATGAAATTTGTCACTATTCCAACCCAAGTCATCACATACGGAATCATTTTCGTTTGCATTTCATCTCTGACGCGAGTAGCCAGTAAATGTATTTTCGCTTCTTCTCGGTCTCGTCTGCTATCAACTTGTCCTTACCAGTGATACTGACTTCTATCAGGAGTACTTCGAGTTACTGTACACCAAGATGTTCGTTCGGTCCACTGTTCTTACTCGCGTTGTGATCTCCACATTTGCATTAACGAAGATTTCCTGAACGCAATGGTTTCGAGTGCGTGCGATGAATCAACTGTAGATGAAGGCTTATTCGTCTGCATATTGTATGGCTTTCTACGATACTTCTTTTGTATTTCGCTATACAAAAACGCTTTCTGGGCTGCTAGTACTTTTCAACGGTTGGATTTTCTACGAAGTTGTACATAGTCTTTAGATAAGGTACAATAATTGTTAAGTACGTATTGTAAGTCTTTTCCTGCTGGAAAATCGCCGCCCTACTCGTAGATTTGGGTGCGGTTTGTACAATACGTTATGAAGTTGCAGAAGAATGAGCTCACTTCCTTGTTCAACGCAGTAGAGCCCACATCCTAACTCGTCCCTTGGCAGGTGCACTCTCTCCAAACATGCAGGTTAGATGTGAATTCCTTATCTAATTAGTAACTGCATGGTATCATGGTCAGTTGCTTGAAAATCCTTTGATTGCAATCTGAGCACTCAGTGTAATAGTTTGTTAAACCTCTGGCGTGCTCATTTACTGCCTTGATAAAGTTCTTACCGTTCAGATCAGTTTTGGCCAGTCGCTCTATTCTCACCAATATCTCTCTTTGGACTTTATCATAGCTTTCTCGAGTAGTCGCACTAGTCCTGTGTTCCATTATTCCAAGGTATTATATCCTTGAGCTCCTTTCAAGGGCATCACCTTTTTAGTGCTCATTTTGCTGAATTCACTTCTAACCCTACTATTTAAAAAAAATCTCTGGACTTCTTCGGTCATAGCTTTCATGATAACTCGTTGGTAGCAAGAAGCTTGAGGTTATATACAAATAATAAATGGTTCGTTACATGCATTTCTTGTTCCGTGGAGACCACCATATTTTTGTATCTGATATTGTCTTCTGAACAGTCTTCTGTACAGCTCGAATCTGGCACTTTGAATTTTAAATGCACATCGAACTCATAACTTTTTCTTTTACTTCCATGGACTTCACTGTCTCTTCTAAGAACGGCTTTTGCGAACATAGACACCTGCACAGAATTTGTTTACTTCTTCCATTCTTGAAGGCTAACCGCTTACGAACTTCTCGCAAAATGAAGGAACTACACAAGGGTTAATTCCACTCTCAGCATCCTCCAGAAACGGTCAAGAATTGCCCTGAGCACTCTATCTGGCCAGCTAATCTTTGGAACCTCGATTTCTCGAATGAATGCTCCGAGCGTGATATTCTGCCGCATCTGGTTCTGGTACACCGGCAGAGTGCTCTCTTACATCTTTCACTATCTCATCTGTTTTCTCAGTGTTTTTATGATTTCTAAATGCGGTTTTTCTCCGCATATCCTCTAATTTCATCTCAAACTTCTGACTTCTGATATCCTGACTGTAAGAAGAACAGGATTCTTATTCTAGGTTTCGAACTCTTTTTTCGACAGTCTTTTCTTCCTCTTCATTCATTCCATGCGTTCTTAACCCTCTTTTCGTGTTTCCTTTTGATTCCTTTAGAAATATGAGAGGTTGCATAAGTATTATCGTCAAAAACCATATTACTTCTTTTCGCATCTTAGGTCGCCTGAGAAATGGAACTTCTTCAAAAACACATTTCCAGCCATTATATAACTGTTCTTTTTGGATTGCTAAGATTTACCGTCATATTACTGGAATTTGCACCATTTTAGTGTTTTTGACAGTTAATAGCACTGCTTTTGTTATTGCAACGGATCTGGTATTTTCGCCAGTTACTTCCATAATAGTATCATGACACCTCGAGAACAGATTGAAATAGAACAACCATAGGAACAGAAACTGAAAATAGCAAAGAAATAATGTGTTTCTTGCAATATCAGAATAAGACTAAGGCCATTTCGTCTGCGAATACCTCAAACTTGGGTAATATGACCATCTATATTCATACATTTCTACATGCATTTCTTCTTTTTAGAAGGTGCACGCTAAAATTATATTCTAGTTCAGTGACTGACTTATTTACCCCTCTATGAAATATCATTGCAGGATGCTTTATAAAGGGGTAGTAGTAAGGTCAAACAAAGAATCGCTTTACGTTTGGTGCAGACAGCTTGACAAGGAAGCGATTTTGAACAAGCAAGTCATGTGTGATGAAGGAACTCTGTCACTTGGCTGTTGGATAGTCTTCACCATCAAAGAGGGCAATCTAATTGATGAATTTATAGAAATTCCTGATGTATTACCGACAGAAATAAATGCTGAAGGAGGTGTCACGGTAATTGCATGTAACTTCTTTACCGCTCCACTGACATATTAAAGAAAACAAAAAGCATGTAAAACGATTCAATTTGACTGCTATAAGTTACATATGTTTTGCTTGTCATGCTTTTCTCTGGTTGAAGGGAATGAAGCATCAAAATTTTATATTCGAGTCTATTTCGTGTTTATCTTTGCTTTTAACCAATGAAATTGCTAACGATGAATTAATTTTATGGATCACTTTCTTTATTTGATGATTTTAGATTTTAACGCGGATTAAATATCTTTCCGAAAATTATCGAGGCCTTAATTTATTGGCCCACTCAAATGACTTGGGGAATGTTGGAATATTCAAGCATTTTCCAAACTTCGATGAAAAACTTGAGCATGATGTCTGGGTCGAAAGGTTATGTTAATTATCTATAATTATATTAGATTGTATCACTAAGTAGAATAAATTTTTTTACTAGACCATTCAAATTTTGTACTCTATATTCTATTTAGAACTTGCCTTATTCATTAAAATAATCTAATGTAATTGTAAATCAAACATTGATGACAAGTATTATGTATTCAACTGTCATCAGTTACGATTTATACTTCAGTTGAATGGAAACATATTTTCTATTTTATACTTATGCAATCAGAGTATTTTTTCATAATTATAAATGAGTGCATTAGCAGAGTTACACCAACACTTTCAAATCTGGAACGGTTATACAGAACGTTTTGGTGTATTAGTAATCAACCTCCTACGCCAGCGTCGGGATCTCAAATGAAGCAGCCGTCATCTGCATTTCGGCGTATTACCAGAAAATTGAGTAAATCAGATGGATTGAGTCGTTCTTTTGATGGCTGTAGTAATTGTGTTGCTGGAAATTCTTTGTGTGAAAGTAACGTGGACTATAGTGAAGAACAGGAGCGAAGTTCTTCGAGACAATCATGTTTTTCTGATGTGAGTTGCTCATATAAAGTTTTTTTGCTAGATTCTAGTGATAATTGATCTGTTCATATAACGTTAACCAGATATTGTTAATTCTGATCTCAGCCTCAATCTTTCCGTTAATTAATATTTCAAACTTGTGTACAGGTTTCTGTAAGCAATGTCCGAAGAGTCTTGATATTTGGTCTGCTTAAGATTACTAAGATCACGTTATATAATAGGTATTTGAACATATTAAGCAAAAATACAGAATTTTAATTTTTATGGTCAGTACCATGTTTCTAATGTATTGTTTCTCTACAAAAATGTTGTGTTTAAGATAGATAGTAAGTTGAATAAAGGAAGTGATTTCTTCATAATTAATGACAGAAGTCAAGTGTAAATAATCTCAAGTCTAAATGTTGATGTTTTGGTCAATAATAGATGACTTTTCTTTGTTCTTCATGCAGGGTTTTTTCTGTTCCTGGCCTCAAACAGAAGAAATGGAGAACATCCTAATTGTTGGTTTGATAACTTCCTCTTGCAGTCAAAGAAGTTATGTTTGGTCAATGCTCGGTGATGGAATTATAATATTATCTGAATCAGAGAAATTGGAACAGGGTTGTTGGATTAAATTTGTAGCATGGTAAATTAATTGATGTTTGCCTCCAACAGACAAAATTTAGATAAGCTACAATCTTTCGTTATTTTATTTCATTTTTTCAATTCATTGTTTCTAGTAAAATTTTAGAATCTTTGAATAGAAATTATGTTTTCGAACTTCTTATTCTGTGTCTGTTTGATGCACTTGTAGAAAATTTTGGTTTATTAATTTTTGGTGCATTTTTAAAATTAGTGAAGAATAACTGCTTTTAAATTATGATTGTATAATTTTTCTAGCAACATGGATACCGTTTTTCGACGATTCGATAAACCAGAAGGGATTAATTACATTGCAAAAAACTGGTACATCATCAATCCAGTTTATCCCACGACAACAATAAAGGCTACAGTTTCAGTGAGTTAAATTTAAATAAACCTAAAAATTTCTAGTAATTGGGAAAAAAAGGAATGGAGTTTTTTTAATCGAGTCCATGTTGATCATATGAGAATTTAAAAATATTTCATGGTTTCAAAAATTATGTTGGTAAGCGATAGAATTGTTCTAATAACTACTGATAAGCTTTGATCGTTCTGAAAACTATCAAATTTCATTTGTGATCGTCATTCAGGATGTTATTTCCAGGTGCAAGTAAAGCTTTTTGTACCAAAAGATTATAAAAATGGTCAATTGAGTCTGTGGACCGAATTTTTTGGCTCTGTTCATGATCCGTTTGAGCATATTAGTAAACTTAATGAGTCAGGAAGTATTTTGGGGCAGTGTATTGTGGTCCGAATTATGAAAGTTAAGAATGAACGTACTCCTGGCAGTAAATGGCTCATACACAAAGTTCTGCATTTTGTTGATGTTAGCAAGTCTTTGGATTCAATATTTTATTCATTAATAAAAATAAATTTACTTTTGTTCTATATTTATCTCTGATTTTGTTTCATTTCTGAAAGGTTTGAATCTTTTATCTAAGATTTTATATTTGATCTTTTATCTAAGATTTTATATTTGATTTTGCAGTATAAGATGCTTTTGTTATGGAATAAGAAATTACGATTGTTTTTATTAACATCATAGACTATTACAGTTTATTCACTGCACAATCTAAAATCATATTAATCCATTTTTTTTTTGATTGAGCTCGTTCTTTGCTAAATAAATGTTGTAACAGGAGTGATGAAAATTAAGCAAAAGGTAAGTTGAAATAAATTGTATGTATATTCTTATTGTCTTCAGGATTTCAGGGTGAGAAAGCAGTTCCTAGTATGAAATCTCCATCCTTTGCGGCTGATGCTTTGAGATATATGTATGAGGACCCGCAGATTTACCGTGTAATGGAGAGTTTGGATCACAGCCTTGTTCGTCAACTTCAAGAACCTCATATAATATTTTCTGCTTTCACATGACGTTTCTGGTTCGAAATTGGGGGTTTATCTACCAGATATAATAAATTTGAGCATTTTTAATGGAAGGAGGTTCTTGTTTCATATCCATTGGGATGCGTCATATATATATCTTTAAAATAGCTACAGTACTAGATCCTTTTTGGATATTTTTTGTGAAATAATTTTCTTGGATCTGAACAATTTTAGCAGTTGATGAACTTGTGACTTTATTTTTGGAGTAATTTTAAAAGCTCATATATTAAGAACTTATGAACTCTACTGAATACGAACCGTGATGGCTTCTGTGACTGTTTTTATATTATTTATATTAGAGCATGATTGTACTAAGTCATGTTTACTTTTTTGTTTGTGAAAATGGTAAGAACCTAGCGTGAATGATGTTTACCCATTGGTCGTGAATTACTTTTTGCGTTAGTTTTTTTTAGTTTAAAATATAAATTCCATTTCTAGAAATTACGCATCTTTGTTTAAGCAGGTTAAAGAAATATTAGAACATTTAGCACATGTTTTTATCCATTCTTATGTTTCAGAGTTGGCTAACTTATTTCATAGTATTTCAGTTTAGTGATGTCTCTTGTTCTACTCTCATCTTTCTGTATTCTTTTTCCCTAATGAGTTCCTACATCCTTTATAGCGTATTCCTCGTTAATCATGACTCATACATTGTCATGCTTAATTCACAAAAATAAATATATTCTTTGATTTCTAATAAAAAAATGTTATTAGTTTAGTTTGCTGTTTTTCAATACAAAGGTAATAATGGCTTAGTACTTAGCTTAGCCAGCGAAAGATGTATTTCTCTTCTACATTTTGGTTTCTTTAAAATAATTTGCATAACCGCAATGATGTGTACACTCGGGTTCTTAGGTGCAACTTTCGAAGTAACGATAAATTTCTAGACTTTCTAGACTGCCTGTATGGTTTTTTTTAATGTATGTTGCCGCTGGCATCTAAAAGTTGCAGATTATTTGAATTCATTTTAAAAAGTTGGAAGAGTGAATAGTGGTGAATGGGTCGCT